GGGGGGGGTGGTGTCCGGGCATGCACATGGAAACCTCTTCAATATCAGTATTTAAAAAAACACGACTTACAGGATCGGAATAAAACAATATTCAACATAGATGTTGTGCATAAGGTAAATTCATATGGATGTTTTATTGGTCTCTTTTTTTCCATGTTTATGAGTATTTAATTTGTTTAAAAGCTTTGTAAAAATAAAACTTAAAATGGAAAGTCATCCTTATTGCATTGATATAGACGCCAACGACTCAAAATACACCAATCTTAGCTGATAGCGAAACAATGAAACTAAATTTGAACTCTAATTTTCTAATCTAATAATTATCTGTTGAACCTATTGTTAAAGTGGATATTTGATATTTTGCCTGATCTATGGCCAACGTTTAAAATATCAAAGGGTTCAATATTTTGTTATGTCATTAAATCAGTTAATGTTTAATTTGCTGAAACATTAAAAAAACAAGTTTATTTTATGATCAGATATCCTTGGTGATTATAAAACTCTGGAATTTTACTTCTAAAATTGGGTTTAGGAATAAATGCCGTTGCATAATAAACTACCTTCATGTTTCGTGGGACACCCTGTAGATTATTGCGATTTTTCATAAAAATACTCTTCTTGTAAATAGGGATGGGCAATACCTGGCCTTGGTTTGTGTTTGTAGAACTTATGGGTTTGGACTTTTATAAAGCACCACGAAAAATCTGTGAACTTGTGAAAATTTACAACATTTCAGATCTGTATTCTGAAAAAATTTGATTTTATAATGTTTACAGTTTTCCAAAAAAAAAAAAAAATGTTGTCTTGATGTCGATGGTTTTTTTTTATTATGTTTAAAGGGAGTGACCGGCTATGTAAGGTAGTTGAACTGAGGACGTAGTGTTGTGGAAAACTTCTTTAGGATTCATTTGAGACATATTTCACTTTTTAAAAGTCTGTAAATCCTGAGTTTGAGCGCAAATTCGACGTTCAAAACTCCTGATTTGGGGGTGAATACGCTTTCAGAATTAGTTTTTTTTTAAATTATTAAATAACGACGACATAAAATGTAAAAATACTCTACAATAAACTACAGACGTCATGTTTAGGAACATTTTGAGAAAATAAAAATTAATCTTATCATCGAAAATAAGTAATCTTGTTCAATTATTAGTTTCTGTTATCTCATTATTCTAGTTAATTTAAAGAATTTGAAGAAATCTGCGAATAAATTCAAAGAAAATTAGAAATTCAATATAATAATGAAAACGAAATAATCGATTTTAGCATTGATTTATTGACATATTTGTTTTGTGAAATATGTTCCTAGCCATCTAGTTAGATTACTGTATAATTTTTACTTTATTTTTCGTTGTCGTTATTTAATAATTTAAAAAAAACTAATTCTGAAAGCGTATCCACCCCCAATTCATGTGTTTTGAACGTCGAATTTGCGCTCAAACTCAGGATTTACAGATCTTTAAAAAGTGAAATATGTCTCAAATGAATCCTAAAGAAGTTTTCGACAACACTGCATACTCAGTTCAATTTCCTTACATAGCCGGTCACTCCCTTTAAATTATACCTTATACCTAAATAAATAAATAGCCATGACATATGCAAGTTTTATAGAGCTCCATTACACAATTAAAAAACTAAATATCTGCAGCATTCCATTATCAGTATAGGTTTAGAAAACGACATTTTATAAATTCTTTTAATGTCTCCGAAGTTCTGGGTTCTGTACAAAATTTGTCTATCCTAGGAGAAAACATAATCATAAATGGTCGTTTTTGGTTAGGTTTCTTTAATGGCATATATCTTCCCTCAGGGTCAGCATTTGTATTTTGTAAGGAAAGCAAATGTTTGGGAAAAAAACAATTTTAAAATTTATATGACTTCTCATTTTTTTGGAACCTTATACAAGTCTGGAAACCTAGAAAGTGGTGACCGTCACATATTTTATAACAACAAAAATATAATAATTTTTAAAAATCGAAAGTTCAAAATAGTTTTTATAATTCATGTCTTTTTAGGACGGTGATAAAAATAAAACATTCAACTATGAATACAGAATTGATAATAATGAGGTGAGAATGAAAAGTTTTATATTTTTAGAAAAAAAATGTAGATCTGTAGCGATCTATGCAAATATATATATATACTCTGCTTGTCTGTCTGTTTGTTTGATTGTGTCCAATAAACGTCAAAACAGCTGAACCGATCCGGCCCAGGGAAGGTTTATGAATCATTAAATTTCAACAAATAGCCTATAACAAAATTAGTTTTTCATTAAATTTTGAAAATCCACAATTCTAAATCTGTGAACTTTTTGTTTTGTTTTTGTTTACAATTAAAATAGAAGCTGGGCGAACGGCCTGAAAGCTTATAGTTTTAATAATAAGAAAGTTGTCAACAGTTTAACTATTTTTGATTTCTTTTGATATTATCTTTTGAAATGTTCAGGATTTTGAGGATAACAAATATGATGTGGTGCAGTATGACAGCAACGAGCGTGGCTCCTATATGGATGATAGTGCTTACACATAGATTATACAGGGTGTCCCAATAAACACTGGAATCAAATTATGAATACGAAATCGACGTTATAATAATCGTTACTCAATTCCCATGTTTGTTGATCCACCCTGTATGTCAAGATTGTACTTTTCTAGTGGCATTTACTAACGGACAAAAGCAAAGCTGCCAATCCATATTTGTCGGATTCAATGAAAAGCATTTAGTTGAACTAGGTAGGTCTAGATAAACTTCTTCTCTACTCAACTCACAGCACAGAGATCAAAGAGGCTATGGAAATTGTGCAACAAGACCGGGTTTACTTAAAAGTGTCACAGCGCCACGATTTACCTAAATCCCTTATACGTTTGTGAAATTATGTTGCTATTATAGATAGTGTACATTAGACCATGTACATTGTACATTTTAGAACAATAACGAGCTTATTCTAGATTCAAGTTAAAAAAAAAAACGTAATTGACAAACATTCTGATAAATTTTTGTACTGCAGGGTTCAGCATTTCTATCACTTAAATGAAGACGACTTTTCTATCTATGTTTTGATTTCTCTAATGCTTTTTTCACGATACAAGTAAACAAAGAGAAATAAAAAATTGAAATCAAAAGTCGTCTTTATAGTTATATTGAAATATACGACAATTGTATGAGAGCAATTTTATTTTGGATCACAGCATTATCCACTCCTGAGAACTAGTTCATCTATCCGTTCTTAGTTCAACTACTTCTTGCAATTCATAAGCTCAACCTAAAACGTCAAGACCTACGAAATAAGAGCCGCACTTACAAATGTTGAGATATAACTCCGTCAGTAAAAATTCTTTTCGTAAAAATGCCTTTGGAAAGTACATTCAGTTTTGACAAACAATCCTACTTTTATATTCGAGAATGAGAATAACATGTAACAAGAATTGTTTTTACCATCCTCAATAAAATGATTACTTCGTGAATCTATATCATCTTATATCATTTAAGTATACGTCATACGAGTTCTTTTTTTTAAAAGATTGATGATAATTTTATTTTTTGTACTTGGAGGGTTTTCGAGAAAATACTAAAAAAGATTTAATAACCTCCTAATATAATGATACCGAGGGCATGAAGACAGTGCTGCAAAGTCTCAATTTAGTTTTGATCCGACTTGAAAAAAAATAAAGATAAGGCTGGGCACCGTTCTTGAAGAACGCTCGTTATTTCACAAGAACAAACAGAACTATCAAGAACAATCCCATCGTCCCGAAAAAAAGAACGGGACGCAAAGAACGCGTTCTCGAAAATATTGTAACGGAACAGAGAAGAACTCAGGACTAAAGGGGAATTTTTTTGGATTATTACTTAAAAAATAGATGAATACAACTAGTCAAATAAGTCGAAGACAACCCTATAATAGTCTGTATTCTGTCATGTTCGTGAGAAACCCTGTTAATATCAATTCTCACTTTTAAATTCATGAACAAAATAATCTGTATGAAAAAATATGAAAATTGAAAAAATATGAAAATTTTAAGACATGTTCACCGAGCTCACTTCTTGATTATTTGATAACTAAAGTGGAAATTTTAAAATTCTTGAATTATATCATAGACAGGTTTTAGTGTAGTTCACGATGACAAACAATGAGGGTATAGTACATAAACGACGGTTACAACGTAATTACTTACTATCAAAGAGTTAGAAGGACAATGAGAGCGTAGTATATAAACGACGGTTACAACGTAATTACTTACTATCAAAGAGTTAGAAGGACAATGAGAGCATAGTATATAAACGACGGTTACAACGTAATTACTTACTATCAAAGAATTAGAAGGACAATGAGAGCGTAGTATATAAACGACGGTTCCAACGTAATTACTTAAAATCAAAGAATTCGAAGGTCAAGTGTTTCGCATCCATCTTGTAAGTTGTGAAATAAAACATTTGCATTTAATGTGATTATACGCGTAATTTCAAATTTCCCTCCATGCAAAGATGGCAATGTCCGATTTACAACGGTACGTCCTTGAAAACAACTAGGTCTGATCAAATATTATTTAGATTTGAATGTTTTTGTTTCTATTAAGTGTTTTTATTTAATTTGAAGTTTCTTTGCCAAAGTTGGCTTGCGCATTTTTTATAGTAAAAAGCAACGGAGAAACTCACAAATATTATCACTTTTAGACCAAGAAAAACGACGGTATCTTCCACATTTATATCAGTTTCGGGTATTATGGGTTCGTGGGAATTGTTATGTTTGCATGGAGGGTCACTTGAAATTACGCTCACAGTCCCTTTAAGTTGTTATTTAGACCGGTGTGACACCATATGGGTTGTTGTAGTCAGTCTGTTCCACTGGCATGACGGTCAACTTGTTTGACACAAATTGAATTTCTAAAATCGTCTCAAATGTTCTATCCTTTATAGGTAACCCTTGTTTTTTGTTTCTACATTTAATTGAGTATTTTGATGGTTTACTAATTGAGTCAGCACAGAAATAGACCAGTTTTGGCGTACAAAACTGGTCTATTTCTGTGCTGACTCTGAGGGTACCCCTGTATCATGTTTTAATGATTTAACTGATAATATTAAAAATTTAATACAAATGTATTTATTAAGTTTTGTTTACAAAGAGATACGGTTACAGATACAAAGAATAAAAATAAATTAAAAAAATTAAAGAGCATTGCCATTTTAGAAAAAAATTATTTCCCTAAATAAAAAATTGTGATGACCACATTTCATTTTTGTTCAATCTAAACATGAATGACAACCTCGATAAGATTCGAGAACACAGAAGAAAAAGTCACTATGCAATTTACTTATTGGCACGTGCGTCAATAAACACACGCCGCGTCAATTGTTTGTACATGAGGTGCGTCCAGGAGATCTAAGCCTTCTTTGGAGGAGGGGCGGGCAGGGTTCCCTCTCCCTTCTTTCCAATCAAAGATTTATGGATGTGAGGAATAACACCTCCCCCAGCAATGGTTGCCTTGATCAGAGTGTCCAACTCTTCATCTCCTCGAATCGCGAGCTGAAAATATAATTATGATTTTTCACTTATTGGTCAAAGAAACCCCGAAACAGCAAATAATACAGTTTATCGCATATCTTCATAAAAAGCTAAAAGAAATGAACCGTTAAGAAAAAAAAATTCCAACAAGTTCACATTTTTTGCTAGACTAGGAAGTTATATACAGCTAAATCCAGAACTTTGTAATCATCGAAAGAATTTATAAAATGTCGTATTCTGAACATACTAATAATAGAATGCTGCCGATTTTTGATTATTAATTAAATAATTATATGGAGTTTTTCAAATGTTCCAGCATATTTCATGGCTATAGGTATAATAGTACGAAACCCATTCAAAAATATTTAAGATGACATTTAATTAATTCTTCCGATGCCTCCGAAGTTTTGGGTTTAGCTGGTGATACCATTTTGATTTTTCTATAATTTATAATTGTCACAAAATTTGTAAAACGCTCAAACAGTTTTTTTTTATCAGAGACCAGATTTTTAAAGATTTCTGATATGTAAAAACTATAACAAAAGGTCCATTAAAATCTGGCATGATCTGAGGGTTCCGGCTAGTGTAGCATTAATTCCACAATATAATGCCTACCTGAAGATGTCTGGGCGTAATACGTTTGACTTTGAGATCCTTGGACGCATTTCCTGCCAACTCTAGAACCTCAGCAGTGAGGTACTCCAGGATAGCAGAGCTGTACACAGCTGCCGTAGCACCAACCCTACATAACCGGTTTTATATTTGATACAAATCCAGAGCTGACATTTCAAAAGCTTAAACCCGAGTTAAACCCTGCTTTAAGGTCTATTTATGCCCAAATAAATAAAGACTCGAGTTTAAGATAAAATCGACTAAGTAAGTTATTTATGTCTTCGACTTGGCCCTGCTTAAAGCCGGAGGTTGTTTTGCAAAAATTATAACATTTTACGTTAAAATGGAATTTATCTGTAGTGTCCAAAATGCAACTCGACTGTTGAATTGTACCTATGATACATGGTGTTTATCATATTAATTGTAGATTATTATAAAATATAAGACGTAAGACAAATCAATAAAAATAATTATAGTACAGGGTACTTTGAGTATTCTCTGTGTATTTAGGCGTTCAAGATAGGAGAAATTCCAATATATGATACACTCTATATGTAATGAGGCCTCTTGACCCGATACTTGGGAAGTGAGCTAATAAGTAAATAAGAAATGTGTAGTGAACTTTAAAGAACCCCGATTACACCTTGAGGATAGGGGGGATGGAGGCTTATTAAAAATGTATAGAAGGAGGGGCCCTTCTATACATTTTTTTCACACTATTCTTATCAAAATTAGTTTTTATTTAGTTTTTTTTTGGGGGGTTAGATTAAATTAGGTTAAAACAATTTATGGACCGAGCGCTGCGGTTAGGACATGCTAGTAAAGGACTCGCAGAGAAAGGCTAGAGGGAAGGGGCAAGAACGGGCCAGTGAGCCCTTTGAAAAATTGTAATTTCATGTGCATTTTTTTAAGAGGCTTCGCAAATAACACTCTTAGAAAAAGCAATTGAGTTATTTTAAAAAATTCAATGATGGGAAGCAAGATCTTAATGATTAAAGATTTAGAATAGATTAAATACCTTGAAACTGCCTTCTGCTTGGATTTTCCGGAGTCTTTTCCTGCTTTACCACCAGCCATGTTTAATTATTGGTCTGAAAAAGATAAAAAATGTATCAGATTAATCAGAATAAAGATAAATATTATGAAATAAAACCGGCTTTTGAGAAAGTAGATAGTACATCAACCTCTCATCACCTAACGCTAAAATAAAAACTAAGTTTTCTCGAAAAATCAAGATTTCAGCGTAATAATAATTATACTCACCTGTCTCTGGCCATTTACTGATTACGACATAATATAGTTTAGATGGAATTTGTTTCAATTTTTAACTGATTTTAACATTTTTATTAACAACTGAAAAATGCTTCATCCGGGGCAGCAATGGCGTCCATACTGGCTGGCAGGGCGCAATTTATTTTCGAGATTTAATTTCGCGAAATTCGTAAATTTTCATTTATTTCTCGTTTGATCGCAAGTTGGATCAAAACTTGGGTTTACAAGTGGGAAAAAAAGATTTTATACATGTCATATTTACTTAAATTTACAAATATTAGGCTTTGTATGTAAGAAATGGTGAAAGTAGTTCAATGTTCGCGAAAATAAATCTCTATTGAATGTGTATCTATGAAGCGTCTAGGAAAGTCTCCGCCAAATATACCTCGCCATATTGGTTGGTTGTTGCCCTAGCCTAAACAATATACAACAAGCTATACACTTTGGAGGAATAGGAACTTGTTACATATTTGTCAACAGTAGGGTTCAGCCCTCATTCGACTCGTTCAGTGATAAACGTTCAGTTGGATCTAAATTCTGGTCAAAATTTATTGAAAAATAATAATTATTTAAAATAATTTTCATGATTTTTATGAATTTTAAATTTTGCTATTTTTACCAGTGATCTTTAAATAAATATTTCAGAATATTTGAACAAGGTTAAAGTGAAAAATGAACGAAATTATATAATTAGATGTGGCCCACGGCAGGGTCCAGTTCAGACAGGGGGCCAGGGCCCCCGCCCCCCCTTCAACCGAGACACTATCATCAGCTACGACATCCAATATCAGGTTTGTAAATTTCAAAGGATTCTCAACAGTTTAAGTTACATGCAGCATCTTTTTCTGTATAAGAGACTGTTCAAATTTACAATTATACATTAAATAACCTAACCTTAGAATGATAAAAATAAGTAATAATAAATTGGCTGAAAAAAAAGAGGTCATGAATAAAATTTTGGGGGGGGGGTCCAAAAATCGTAAACTAGGTCGGACCCCGATTTTTGGACCCCCCTCCCCCCGGCCTCCCCCCCTTCTATCAATTTTGTACATGGTTTTAATATGTATCACATGAATATCGTTGGTAATGTGGCCGCAGCGGCGCTCGGCTCCTTAGACTGTCTTAGCAGCAACGCTTGGCCCCCTAGTCCGTCCTTGACTCAGCGCTCGGTCCAGAAATTGTCTTAACCTAACCTAACCCCAAAATAATAAATAGTAAATAATAACAATATTTCTGTAAAACAAGTGGTCAGGTTATGTACAAAATTTATAGGATGGAGGGGGGGGGGGGGAGTCCCAAAATCGTTCTCTAGGACAGACCCAGCTAAATTTTTCAAGTTTCCAAGTCAAGGGCCAAGGCCCCTCCTCTTTACTAAAAAGATAGTTTTCTTTTCCCTATAAGTACAATTTTAGCGACCATAAACCCTTGCATCTATATATATAATGTAATCTCTGTTTGTTTGTTTGTCCATTAATTACTCGGGAACCCCTTGACCGATTTGCCTCAAATGTTCTTGGCCTGATTTTGAAATTCTGAAGTTGGGTGGGTCGACTGTTACCGGGATAAATTGCTAAAATCGTAATTAACGACCAAGTGCGGGTAAACGGTGGGAGCACTGTGGGCAACGCTGGGTTCCTAAGCTAGTTCTTAATAAATTCCTTGGAAATTGTATATGTTAGAATGAAAATAAACGACTCGTTGAATAAATTATTTCTTACATACTATTTTATATTCAAGGTTATTAGTTCAAGTCTAAAATTATCTATTGTTCCCAAAAATAATTAATTTTCCGAAATTCAGAGAACAAACCAAAATATTTCAAACAAGAGAAAGGGAATTTTTCTTCTTAAAAAATGTACTTAAGGTTTAAATGTTTGTTCGACTTGCATGTCATTTATCCAACAAACATAAAACGGTTTTGCATATATTTTTTTAACATTGTCTCTTTGCTAAGCTTAAAATTAGAAAAATTGTTGCAAATAGCATTGTAAACCCTGTAGAATGTAACCTACAAATTATTATAAATAATAAAATGAACCGGAGCTGAAAACTAAGAATGGTGGGTATTGAGATCAAAGTTTGATCCTCTCTGTTTCTCAATCTCCGAATTAAATATTGCTTGTTCTCCTCTTGTTATTAATCTCCAGATTAATTAACAGATCAGGGTTAAGGATATCCCATTCTAAACTTTTTAGCTCTGAGCCAGAAACTCTTGTTTTGTGGTTATCAAGATCAATGCTTGATCTCACTCTTATGTTAATCTCCAGAATGATATAATTAAACTATGAAGGAATAACTGAAATGAAGAGATTAAGCATCGATCCTCCAAACTGAAAGTGTTCACAGGGAATATCGAGATCAAGTGATCGGTATGATGAGTAGCCCAGCTTTGTTCTTATCGTGGATTTTTTTTGTATTTATTAAATCTGTTGCAGGTCAACCCGTTCCTCATCTAGCCTCCGGTCAACAGGGGGTTTATATCAATCCCAGGTATGTTTGAAGAACTGAATACCTTAGTTCGAGTGACCCGCCATTTAAAGGTTGTTATGTTCGAAAAATGAAGAAGATATCGTCATTAAATGTAACATCATTTAGGGTGCCTTTTGCAAATCGAAAATGCCAGCCTTAAAATCAGTGTTCAGGATCCGGATCCGTTGAACCCGTAAAATTTTGACTCCCTGGGTTCGGATCCATTGGGCAGAATATCAATGAAAAGCTGCAAAAAAAATCCAGTTTATTTTGATCTGGATCCGGGACCGGATCCTAAGCATTGGTCAGTAAGCAATGAATTGCTCAATGCCTAACCTCTATTAATGATGAAGGTATGAGAACCGGCCTCGACTTGTCTCTGATCCTCAGCAGAAGATATTAATTGATTACGGGATAGAGGATCATGGATCCAGGGATACAGTTCAAGTTGTAGACCTGGATCATGACGAAGAGATTTCAATTACAGGTAAATAGATGCCTGGCACTTTCGAAAAGGGAATTTTGGAAGGGAAAATACTATTTAAAATTTTTGATAAAAATAGGTTATGCACGAGGTTTGAAAAGGCGCTTCTTTATTGGGGGGGGTTATTAGTTGTAAAATGTTAGTTTTACAAATAGTAAAATAGTTTAATTAGTATTAAAAACAGATCTTGAAAAGATCATGGGGGGGTTTATAAAACAATGAAGTTCGCAAAAAATATATTTCCGTTTTTTATCGAACATGAAACTATTCTGCTAAATGGCAAGTTCTCTGAAACCTGAAAATTTGAGCGCTTTCAGCTTCTCAGGTTACTGCAGGAGTGCTTGTAGTAGACAAGTGCACTCATACCATTATACACAATAGCTTTTGTTTACAGAGACTACGACGTAGGTTTAATTTCAAGTTGTCTTTACTTTTATAGATTGTCGGGTTCGATTAACAAAGGTACCCGCCCGTAAAAAGCTTTGTCTGATGAAAAATGAATGTAATATTCATGGGTTTCTCTTCGAACGTTATCATTTTTAAATGTGATTTGCGGTTTTATACAACAACAAAAAAGAAATAAAATTGACATAATTGACAACATCTTCATGATTATTAATGAGATGAAGGTTTAACTGGTACCGGTGTGGATGTAACATGCCCATAAAGTTACGGTTACAGTTCCTTTAAGTACGTTAAGTTTACGCAATACCTGCAGGTCACTAAATGCGTAAAGATGACGAATTTTTAAGATAACAAAGTTTTACTTACTAAAGTACTTTGCACCGTCATTAGACAAGAATATTTTCTTCTTTTTTTTTAGAAAAATTATCGCAAGTCAGATTTTGAAAAAAAAAGAATTTACAATTTGCATAAATATCAAGGTTAAAGCGTAAATTCTTTCTGTTCTGTTTAGATTTAGAAATTGAGAATATTTTGACATGTTTACGCATAGTTCTAGGATAGCACGCATTATTCAAGTATAGTTTATCCTGGGATTCTTATCAAGCACAACCTTCGGATTTATTTCTTAGGATTGATAAGCATTCCTTCTAAGCAACCAGTTTTTTCTAGAAACCAAAGTTAGCTAGGCAAGTTTTTAAAAATAGTTTGAAGTAGAAAAAAATAAACATTTTGCACACAGTGCATTTATAGTTGTTTTAAAATCGACGCAATTTGGAATTTTGACAACCCCTCAGAACAGTGAACCATAAAGATTGCCAATAAGATAAAAAGTCATTGATAAGTAATAACCTCAAAATTAGCTCTGATTTTTGATGAGCTGATGAGGAAAAGTGTAAAATTTGATCTTATCCGGCAAGTATTTCCATAATTTCAATTGATCCTCTATGTAAGAATGTTATAGCTCAAAAAGTGATTAATTCTGATAACTTTCCAGTGTTTCAAAAGTTAAAGAATGCGTGAGTCACTTTCGCAGAGAACCCTCAAATGAAATTAGAACAGTTTTCTGTAACAATAACATGGACATCTAATTCATACTTTATCAGACAGCGCTTTTAATGGTACTTTAGAAGTTCATTTATTGCTTCTAGATATAAAAACATGATAAATAACGAGTGTATTAAAGGAGAGGAAGATGAGTAGGTCTTCTCTGGGTCCAGAATCCAACGCTACTGATTTGCGGATTTTATAATCCTCTTTCGGGGATTTCATCCTCTACAGCACCGTTGTAAATCGAACTTGTCAATATATTTTTAAGAGAGGGGTTCAATTGAAACAGTCTTTTTAAGTCTAAAACTTTTATCTGAATAAAAAACATTGTTGAACAAAATACTTTTGAAAATACCATTAATTTTCAGGTCAACATCCAGCGCTGTATCTACGTCACGCTGCCTTTGATGGACCCCCCGTATCCGGGATTATTCATAATTCAGACAGGTAATATTTACTCATCTATCCCATAAGTTCTTAAGTTTTTTTTTACGAAAATGAGATGTTTTTTGATGAAGAAAAGTAAATGATTATCAATTTATGTTCGCTAAATTTCTATCCTGTGTTCGTAGACGAAATTTTCTCAACATTTTGAATAAAATGCTTAAAAAAGATACTTTTTTGATAAATTAGTTTCCTAGTTTACCATTTGTTTTGTTCTTTCCTCTGTTTTACCTTTTTACCATTTCTTTTCCATGTTTCTTCATTTTCTTTGTCATTTATTCCCTTATGGGGGTTATCCATAAAGGATGAAGCTGTAAAGACGACCTGAAACTTTTAAATTACTATTTCATGGCTCCATGGCCTTTGATATAGTCTATTAATGGTCTATTTAAAAGATAATGAAACAAATAAGTTTAAAGTGGCAGGGAATCATAAATATAAGTAGACAGACAATAGACTATTCCGGACAGTCGTCTGAAGTCCATTTGTCGGTAACACTGTTTCTCACACCGTAAATTTAAATTACTATTTCATGGCTGCATGAATTAAATATTCTGCCTTAGATATGGTCTATTAACGGTCCATTTAATGGATAAAGAAACAAAGAGAGTTATAAATATAAGTAGACAATAGATAGACAATAGACTATTCCGTACAGTCGTCTGAAGTCCATTTGTCGGTTACCCTGTTTCTTATTCTAGTTAATTCTTCACTTTCAATCTGTTAATGAGAGCAGTCCAGTAAATATTGAATTAGTCTAGTCCATAGCATTCATTTAAGGATAACGTTAATATAATAAAACTCATTTGATTAAAGATGTTTAAAAATGCTGATATTCAATGCTGATAAAACAACTGACACTGCATTTAATGGCAACTGCATTCACTGCACGTTTTTTGTCGGAAAAAACGCCTTTGAGAGATGACACAAACTATATTTTGGTTCATCTTCGAATATTAAATTTTATTTGTAATAAAACACAGTTTTTCCATTCAAATTTTTTGCAAGGATTTATTATGCTTATTTATTTAATATCGTTTTTATTATTTCATATTTTTTTCTTTTCTTTTTTAAAAAGTTTTTTTTACTATTTTTTTATCTGTCTCATTTCGATAATTTCTAAATAATAATGGTTATTCGTTGAAAAATGCATTTGTCCATAATGTTGATCTGGTTTGTTTTCCACGGAATGATGGTTCAGATTTTATTTATTTATTTATTTATTTAGATCGTATCGGGCGTATTACGCAGACACGATGAGTTCGGACACGAGTTCTGCGTACAGCGGGTCAGATACCATGCATAGTTTACAGTCAGGACAAGAGGAACTGGATCTGTCAGGTATACGCGAATATTACGCATCCTAGGGTTTTGGGGATTTACGATCTCCTTTATTTCATGTATATTTGATGGGTTTTGTTTGAATAACTTAGAGGACGAAAATATTTATGTTTGTTGGAAACATGGATATATAATTGATAGATATATAATATCATAGTCAAGGTTTGATGTAATTTTTTCGCTGGGTTGTTATGCAGTACGTTAGACATTGGACCCTGGAACTTACAATTTGTCTTTGGTTTTCGTAAAGTTAATAGAAGTCAAAGGAGTAAAGAAAAACTTTGTAAGTCTTTAATACTTGATAAGATTTAGCCTCCTTCTTTGTAATATAAAAATTGTTGGAGATACTAAAGAATTAAACAACCTTGCTGATAGTTAATACTTTGAATTTTAAACAAATTTCTCAATATCTTGGTCAATTCTTAAGGTACAAAAACAGCAGACCACATTTTGAAATTCTGAAAACAAGACGCCTTTGATGCCACCAACTCTTTGAAGAAAATGCTGTGATCACAAGATTTTAGCTACAGTATCTCATTTCTGCTTACTCCAGGGCCCACTATCTGCAAAAGTTCTTATCCAATTTGGACCCTAAAATTCACTTAAAACTTTTATTTAAAGTTCAAATTATCTTTATAGAATGAACAATAGCCAGAATAAAAATTTGTTATAGTAAAACCTAAAATTTGTTATGCAGAGGTTTTAGAAATTTCCTAAAAATATTTAGGGTCCACTGAGATATAACAGCTGCGTAGCCCACTGACAAAGTTACATGTACACTAGCCCAGAATAGTATAGATCGGTAGATAGAAGCATACATATAAGCGGGCCGTGGTTGGAAAAACATCCATAATTTGACTAAATCTGTCAAGTATGTTTCGAAAAAACGATACATTTAATTTCCAAAAACAAGCAATTTAAGTTCGCAAGTAATTTTTACAGGAAAACCACAACAACAAATTTTGCTAATGAAAGGCAAAAATATCTGTAATTTTAAGCGTAGGATTAGTTAAAATGTCGTCTAAATTTATCTTATATTCCTAGGCTTGCACGAATCCCACGTGGACTCCGACGAGGAGGACCTTGCAGAGTCCATCGGGTCCTTCACCCTCAGGGACGCGGTTCGGGACTGCTTGGAGAAGGACCCAGCGGATAGAACTCCAGAGGATATTGAGATCTTGATGGAGTTCACACACACCCTCGAGGCTTTCGCCGGTATGACGCAGGCAGTGAGGACTAAGATGTGCGCCGTCATGGTGTTCGCCGTGGTGGACAAGGAGAACACGGTGGTGATGAACGACAAGGAGGAGTTGGACAGCTGGAGTGTTATTATCAACGGAGCTGTGAGAGTTGAGGGAGGTGAGGGAGGGAGGAAGTATGTTCTGAGTTTAGGTCAGGGGTTTGGGATCAAACCAACTATGAAGACGGAATATCACCAGGAATAATATTTAATTTTATTAAAACTTTATTTATTACTTTGGAAACATTTTGGAATATTTTGTCTCAAGATACACAATGTGCTTTTCAATAAAATTGATTACAACAAAGATTATATTTAACTGGGGTTTCATTTTTTAACTATGAATGAACTAAGGGTTATCTTACGAAAACTGAATTTTTTAACATGTAAGTAACATGTAAGTAACATGTAAGTACGAAACTGAATCCAACATTTTGATAATTTAAAAATTTTACCCTTAAAACATTAATTTTTTTAAATCAAAATTTACTTTTTAAGAGAAGAGAGGGGAGGGGGATTTTTTAAAACATAAATGTTGAATATTATTTTCTCTTGTCAGGGAGTCATGACAACCATGGTGGATGATTGCCAGTTTGTGTGTATAACCCAGCAGGACTATTATAAAATCCTCCACGAGGGGGAGGACGCCCTGGTGAAGGAGGAGGAGGACGGTGTCCTCGTCAAGGTGTCTGAGGTCCGGAGAGCCGAGGACGGGATAAAACATGTTCAAGTTCTGCTCCGAGCCACACCGGAGAAACTGATAAATCAGCTGATAGAAGATACTAACTCAGCTGATCCAAACTATATTGAGGCAATTCAGAAAAATTACTACATTTTGAAAGTGCTTAATCCAGAAAACCAAAATCAAAAATTTCTAGTTTTACTTAATCTATTTTTTTTCAATCAAAATCCAAAGGATTTATCTTTATAGCGGTTTCTGTATTATTTTTAAAATCAGGTTTACAACGGTACCATCAACACAATATTCTGAGTAAAGATATAAAAAATATCGTCGTTTTTAAATCTTAAAGTTTAATCTGATAGTTACTCCATTGTTTCTGCTGGAAACGAATATTGTATCTCAGAATTAATGATCGTACACCGTCTGAAAAGAGCCACTTGATACTTCGTCTACACTACAGTTCCTTTATCTTGTTATTATTATTGAATTGTCATTGAACAGGATTTTCTTCTGTGTCATCGTGTGTTCCTTGCATCTTCTCTTCTTGTAGTTCAGCAACTTCTAGACTGGTTTGCAAGACAGGAACTCAGAGATAAGGTTAGCTTGTTCCTTTTAAAGATAATGCTGGAGTTGTGGTCCCATTAAGCTTGACAATATTTTTAAACATAGAAAAAAAAAGTTAAGAATTATTATCATAAAATACCCGTGTCCTGTATTTTCCATAATATGGTCTGCAGTAAAATTTAAATCCAAGGACTAGGGGAAATTTTTTTTAAAAAAAACTGTTTAATTATTCAATAATTTCATAATTCAATGCAGCTATTTATATCCAAATCTTAGAATACTTTCAGTTATCGTCCGTCAACTGTCATGTTTCCTGGGACACGCTGTTATCGGGAGATTATAAAGTTGTGTCTGTTTTTTGTCAAATTGTGACACCATGTATCTCCTCGTTTTTTATTTAAAACTCAAAATTTGGTGTTCATAATCATGAAAATGTTTTCCACAAACTCCGATTTTCTAATTCCTATATCTTTACTACCCAATGCCGTAAACCTTAAATATTTAAATCTATGAATTCTGATAGATCAAATAATCTAAGTTTAAAATATCAAAGACTTTCACCATCAAGTTATTAAGATATTATTGATCAGAAAATTTGATTTTGTTCCTTTTCTTGAAAGAAAAACAAACAATTGTCAAAAAAAAACTTAATTTTTATCCATTTTCCTTTTTTTACGACAGGTTACCCGAATCCTTTTGCTGTGGGTAAACAATCATTTCACGGATTTTGAGCTTGATGCGGAGATGATGGAACTTCTTCATCAATTTGAAAACAAGCTAGAAGGTAAATATTTTGACACAATCAAAGAAGCTTTTAACTTTTGAACCAACGATTTTATGAACTAAGAGAAGATGTAAATTTTTCTATTCAATTTATAAATGTTTGACAAATGACACACGAGAGATGTGAAAATGGATTAAGCTGATTGAAAATATTAAAAAAAATTTAAGTCTTGAAAACTTAAAATGTATGGTTCTCTAAATATAACTGTTTTTAGTAACACTGAGCTTGTTTAAAGTTTTCGTACAGGAATACAGAATGTAGATGTTACTTAACAAAAAAATTTTATCCTTCATAAACTTATATTTGTTTATTCAGGTGCTAAAATGCAAGGTCAACTTCGTATGCTGAACTTTGCTTGCGCAGCTAAGGCGCGCCCTCGGACTGTCATTATCACGCGCCCTTCACGTGACGAAGCGCTTGAGTTCCGATTGACTGGTGGCCATCAAAACCGGTTCGGGATCTTCATAGAGACAGTGAGTAAGGGCTCCGTGGCGGCCAAAAAAGGAATAAAGCGCGGTGATCAGATACTAGAGGTAAATGGGGAAAACTTCCTGCAGGGAATGCATTTGGAGCGCGCCATTAGCATCCTTCAAAGTCAATGCCATCTTCAGTTAACCGTTAAATCAAACTACCTTGGCTTCAAAGAAGTTTTATCTTCTGAGAATACAAGGAAAATACCGAAAAAATCCATTGATCTCTCGTCACGATCCCACGCCATGGCAAACCTTACGCCGCAAAGCAAGGACGATCTTCACATCGATACAAAAATGTCTAGCATCAACCTATCCGGGAATTCAAAGCGACGGAATCCTAAACATATGTTGATGGATCGGTTAAAACAGAGTTTTGCCGAGCTCTTGAGTCAACCCAAACTGAATATTCCAAAGATACTCTCCGAGGAGGGGGACCTTGATGCTGCCTTTGAGGATTATGAAGAGATTTACGATTTCCAGGATGCGATCCCAGAACATAGTCTAAAAATTTACAGATCTGATCAGTCCTCTAAGTACTTGCTCGTCAACAAGACGACTAGTGCCAAGGAGGTTGTTATGCTCGCCCTGAAGGAGTTCGGGATCACAGAGGTTAGCACCAACTACGCATTGTTCGAGGTTACCGTTGAAAACGGATTAATCCGTCAGCGCCGTCTAGCAGACAGATTTGACAACTTGGCGCAGAGGATCGGATTGGCTAGCAGGTACTACATCAAGAATATACAAAGTAACCAGCAGCTGGTACCAGAGGATCTGAGCAGTGAACTCCAGAGGGAGAGCGTTGTGAATCTGCTGAGCCTGAACTGCGAGGAGACGGGAACCCAGCTCATGGTTGAGGATTTTACCCTCTTCAGGCAGATCGAGCAGACCGAGTATGTTGACTGGATTTTCGAGTTAAACTCAAGGTAACTTAATAAATACTTAAATATGAAAAAAAAATCATTTTATTTGAAATTATAGTTAAATTTTTTATTTATTTGATATTGCATCGCTGTCATGTTTCGTCTTTAAATTTTTTGTTTGGTAAACTCAGTACTCAGTATACTACTTTTTATGGTATACTACGCATCTAAAATTTTATTGGGAATGATTGGAAGTATATTCAGTTTAGGTATGATGTATTGATTATTTGATATATAATGATTAGGGTTGGGAATGATGATTGATATGTGATGTTCAGGTTCGGGAAAGATTAATTGATCGAAACGTCACGTTTAGAATGAATTGGGAATGATTATTTAATTGAATTGTAATGTTTATATTTGGGATTGATTGATTGACATTTAATGGTTAGTTTGGAAATGGCTAATTTATTGGTATGTAATGTGTAGGGTTGGGAATGAATAATTGATCGAATTGTAATGCTTAGGTTTGAGAATGATTTATTGATTTAATGTATTGCTTAGAATTGAGAACGATAAATTGACGATACTGTAATGCTCAGGTTTGGTTATGTTACTTTAATTAAATATGTAATGTATGTGGTTGGGGATGATTATTTGAATGATGTGTAATGTAAGGATTTGGTAATGATTAATTGATTTATTAATGATAATGATTTATTGATTGATGGGTAAAGTTATAGTTTGAAAATGATGATTGATTGATGAAATGTAATGTTAACGTCCCTTTAACGGGATAAACTTGTCGACCATTTACAGAAAAATAATCAAGTATTAACCCCAGTCACATAGTTTTATGAAGCAGGAGTCCTGACTTACTAACTTATTGGAACTTTTTCAAGTTATAACAAGCCTGCAGGTTGAAGGTCATTCTATGGACATTATATTTTTAGATTTCTCCAAGGCTTTTGACAAAGTGCTTAAAAACAGATTGCTTGAGAAACTTAAAGCTCGTAGTATAAATGGTGATATTTTGAGCTGAATTGAAGCAGTGATTAGGATCCATTTAATTTTGATGCGGATCCGGATCCTGGATCCGCACTGTAAAAATATGGATCCGGATCCAGGTCATTTCTTTAAGATTTACTATTAAACAAAAAATAATTTTCAAATATTGTTTTATTTTTTCGCTTATTTTTATTCTAAAACTTATTGAACCATTCAGAATTGAGGAAATTTTTATAATCTCCCTTTATTTTCTAAAGTTCAGATTGGGTTTTACGAGTTAAAAAGTTTTTTCTTGTAGTTTTTGGTTGATATTTTACCCCTTGGATCTGGATCCTCAGCACTGGATCATTGAAGCATGGACTTGCAAACTGGGGTCAAAGAGTAGTTTTGAAAGGCCAATATTCAGAATGGAAACCTGTCCTAAGTGGTGTTCCCCAGGGATCGGTGCTTGGTCCGATCCTTTTTATCATCTATATGAATGAGATTGACTTTCTTTGTTAACAAATGTCTATGTTCAAAAATTTGCTGATGATACAAAACTTGCCCAAAAAATGTTTAACGAAAGTGACAAAAATATATTACAAAACTGACTCAAGAACTTTGTGATTGGGCTGAAACTTGGGGTATGGTCTTCAATGTTAGATAAGATAAGATAAGATAAAGTTTATTGCTAAAATAAATGTATCTGTATACAGATAGAGTTTACAATCACAAAATTGATGATTATATTTACTTTAATAACAAAATATTTCAATTAAATAGATTTAAGGAGTACGATTAGAGATCAGGGTGCGAATTTATCATATGCAAAATAGTTTATACATAAATTCGAATAACTAGAGTTTAAAGTAATTTTCAGACATGTACACAACAAATATCAAAGCATATTAAAACATATCTAATTAGTTTTACATGAATATGTTGATAATTGCAAAGTTATACACACTGGAAATAGAAACCCCTGCTATACATACACCATGTACTATCAAACCTTGTCAGAGATTGTCGAGGAAAGAGATATTGGAGTTACTATGCATGCAAATTTGAAACCTTCAGTGCATAGCAACCAAATAGCCCAAAAGGCAAACGGTATATTGTCACTTTTTTCTTGAGCATTTCAATATAGAGACCAAGTTGCATTTATCAATCTCTATAAGCTTTATGTGAGACCTCACCTAGAGTTCTCCGTCCCAGCTTGGTGTCCTTGGAGTGTAGGAGATAAAGAAACTATTGAAAAAGTGCAAAAAAAGGCGGTTTCAATGGTTTCAGGACTTACTGGTTCATCGTACAGTGAAAAACGAATAGAACTCAATTTAAAATCCCTTGAAAGTCGAAGACTCCGCTATGATTTAATTAAAACCTATACAATTATTCATGGAGCTAATAATGTTAATAAATGTACATGGTTTTCAATGTTAGCAGATACATCCAATAGGATTACAAGAATGTCAGAAAATCCTCTTTCACTTAGTGCCAAAGTTTGTAGAACTGATATTCTTAAACATTTTTTAGCCAAAGAGTTGTATAAAAACTGCGCCAACGTTAAATACTAAATCTGAGAAATATGTAACAAATTCCAATCTGTTCTTGTTTCTATTGTTGGGAATAAAAGAGATTAGTTAAAAAGAAAACAGAAAGACAAAATAAAAAAAGATTATGTCGAAAAAGAAAAAAACTAACAAAAATACTTCAAGAAATGTGAATTGTTCAGAAATGATTAATTGATTGCTGTGTATTGTGCATTGTTCGGAAATGATTAATTGATTGCTGTGTATTGTGAATTGTTCAGAAATTGGGAATAACTGATTGCTTGATTGATTAATGTGTGATGTTAAGGTTTGGTATTGAGAACCTGAACAAGTTCAGCGACCTCGTGAACAAGGAGACCCTGTGGGTGGTTACCGAGGTGTGCAGTGAAACCAACTTGGGCAAGCGCGTTAAGCTCGTCAAACTCTTTCTCAAGATTGCGAAACATTGCAAGGAAACTCAGAATTACAATTCAATGTTTGCAATTACTTCAGGTAAAATTAACTTAAGCATCTTATTTAAGACTTTTTTTTAAAACGTCATTTTGCACGGAAAGTGTAAGAATAAGCCCCAAGTATTCAGAAGAAAAAAATGCGCAATTTATTCATTTATTTATTTATTCAATTATTGAAATAAATTTTTATTCAAACGTTGCACATTTCTTTATAAATTGTCTTCTGGTTTAATATTCCTTTTTAATTATTATTAAAAAATCTGTCATCCAATTGAATTGCAGATTCAGATGTAATAATCCTTTTACAATTTTATCTTTGATCTTCTCAATATTCTAGGATCAAATAAAACTTTAATGTTTAAAATCTTTTCTTTTGAACATTATTGCGTCATTACTATATTACATACACTTAAAGGATTGACGCACAACGCCGTGTCACGACTGCGTCACACCTGGGAGCGTATTCCAGAAAAATACAACAAACTCCTCTCAGATCTTCAGGTATTTTTTAATATTAAAAAAAAATTACATTTGAATGTTTTTTTTATTCTAACAAAAAATGTTATTGATTTAGGGTATAATGGATCCATCGCGGAACTTCAGCCGATATCGAAACCTTATTAAATCTGATGCAGTAAAGCCTCCCCTTATCCCCATTTTCCCCATGGTATCAAAGGACTTGTCCTTTATTCATATAGGAAACAAAAGTAAAATGGACGGGCTAATTAACTTTGAGAAAATGCGCCTGGTCGCTAAAGAAATCCGCAATTTAACGAGTATGTGCTCCGCACCACTACGGGGAATATCGGATACTATTATTGCGATGAATGACACCGAACAACCTGGGAAATACGCAACTATGAAGCGTGGTAAGGGGAGGCGAGAAGTAGCTGATGCACGAAAAATGTATAGTGAGGCGCATATGGTGCGCAAAGTCAAGTCCTATTTAGCCAATCTGAAAATACTCGCAGATGAAGAAATTCTGCAGAAAATGTCTCTTGAAATAGAACCACCCCAGGTAAACATAACAACCACTCGAATTTAGATTTGATTCAAGTTAAGAATATTTGTTTCTTGAAGTCGTGTTGTAAGAAAAAAAGGAAAAAAAAATATTTCACTTTTTACCAATTTTTATTTGAAATCATCCAATGACCCTAAGGGTGATAATAAATGTTTTGAAAAATTGTGTGCTTAGACGGCCGGAAAATTATTTGAAAACGTTCCTTTGCTTTTAACAAATCTTGTAATATAAAAAAATCTAAAACTTAAATTAAAAAATCTTTTTCCAGGTAAAATTATCAGTTCATGTTGGAAGCAGCAGTTCCCTGAGAGGAGGGGGCCGTCCTCCCTCTCCCACCCCCAGCAGATCTTCCGCCCATTCAAATATGTCGGAGGGAAAGAAATCTTTAAAATCTGGCCCAACCAAATTCGGGGCATCTAGTCCAGAGGCAGAACGGTATGATTGAGTGATTAACGATTTGATTGATGATTTAATTGATGATAAGATTGATGCTTGGATTGATAATTTAATCAATGATTCGGTCAATGATTTGATTGATACTTGATTGATGGTTTGAATGATAATATTATTCGTGGTTTGATTGATGATTTGATTTAATGACTGATTGATTTGATTATTGATTTGAATATTGGTTTGATTATTGATTTGATTAATGATTTTATTAATGATTTGATTGACTGATTTTATTAATTATTTGATTGATGTTTAGATTCATGACTTTAGGAATGATTTGATTTATTGATTTGATTGATGTTGTGATTGATTGATGATTTGTTCTTTATTCTATTTTTGTCTAGGAAGCTTCTGTCTCTAGCTGAACCTGGAAGGAAGAAAATGCCAAAACATTCAAAATCTTCTTTCAGTCTTTCAGTATCTCCAGGTAATTTTAGTTTTTAGTGGAAATTAGGTTATAGAAAGATATTTTAAACAAAAACAAGCAATCTCCCACTTTTTCCTTACTTTTTAAATGGATGAAAGCATTTGCGAATAGATTTTTTAACTTTCATTTAAATTTTTGAATTTTGCTTTTGGATCATTTTTTATGAAAAATTTTACTAGGTTCCTCGTCAAACACCCGCGCTTTCTTATTTACTAAGAGAAGGGACGGGACACTTTAAGAATAGACAAATATAATTTTAATTGTTAATTGTTAATTGTTAATTTGTTTAGGACCCTCTCCTGTCCAGCTCCGACGGGATCAGGTTGGCAAAACTCATGAACGGAGTAACTCTGATGCCATAGCAGTCAGTCTCAGTGCTGAGAGCAGTTCAGTGTCCTCACTTCCTGGTCTAAGACGAGGATCAGTGTCTAGTCAGGTGAGATTCAGATAAATCGTAAAAGGGACTGGAAACCTTACAGTATTATTTCAAGTGATCCTCCACGTAAAGATAGCAATGCCAGATTTACAACGGTACTCTTAAAACCTTAATCTGATCAAAAATGTTGACTCAAAAAGTGTATTTTTCTGGAAATTTTCCAGTAAGAAATGTTCAAGTCAATTTTGCAGAGAAATCACAAATGAAAGAAAGCAGATAAAAATACACGCATATTTAATTTATATTTGATCCCTGTCGTATCCCTTAAAATAACTAACTTTCGCGTGAAAACCTGGCCTCGATCTCGATAATTTAATTAATTTGTGTTATTTCAATAGGGTGTATATTTTCCTAAAAAATTAATCCCCCCCCCCCCTTTATTGATTATTAGCAACTTATCTTGCAGGAGGATGAACTAAGAACTAGATCTAATGATACAGACTCCGCCCCTAGGGGTTCCAGGCACCCCACCCGCCCTGTAGAACTAGGAAGGAAGGTTTCTTCTGCCTCGGTTGGTTCCTCCGGTATAGGATCTCCTTTAGAAGTTCCGCCACGATCCGGCGGAAGTCTTCCACCTCCTCCACGGCCGCCAGATTATCAAACCGCTGTAGGGCGAACATTGAAGAGTGGTCGGAAAACCCGGGTAAGCCGGACACAGTCCCGAGAAGGCGGTGAGGCGGAGAGCGGAGGGAACGGTGAGGACGAAACCCAAGTGTCCGCCGTATAGATTTATTTACATATCTATTTATGATCGGTTTAAAAAATTTGGTTTAGTTTAGGATATATGTTGGCATTCGTTATTATATATAAAATTAATGATTTCTTCCATATTATTTATGTATGACTTTTTTTAATTGTTCGGAATTGGAGGTCGAGGACAAATGATTTTATTTTGAAGACTTTGATGAAATGGAATCAGACATAATTACTAGTTATAGATTTTAAAATGTTGCCCAAATTTTATTTAAAACTTGTTATTGGGATAAAGTGCATTTGCAATCCCGCTGTCCACATATCAATCGAAATATCTACAATTGGAAAGTTTCTTGATTTTTTCCCCAAGAGATGGCGTTGTCTTCTAACTTATTTGTTACCTGCTTACTTCGTTACAAATCATCGTTGATCGTTAAACTTTGTTATTAAAACGTCGTGCATTACTTGTTTACGTCGGTAACATTGTCAATGTAGTGTTTTTAATCAACTAGAGGTTTAATTTTAAATGATTTATACTTTGGAGCAAAAAAATACTCAACAGTAGCGGTTGAACGGTTTCTTGAGACTCTACGATAAAATTCAGAGTAAGAATTACGACTTTTTTTTCTTTATTAAAAATTGACTCAACATCTGAAATCATAATCTTAAGGTACATACTTTAGTCCTCAACCCGCTGGGTTCACGTTTTTTTACATTTTTTCTTTTGCTATGAAAAAGTTTACAACGATTGACGACATAAAAAATGTAAAACCCTAACTTTTTTTGTTAAAGCTAAAAATGTTAGGGTTTTACAAAAATGTGTAATTCAAGCGGTTTAAACAAAAATAGTATTATAAACTATTTGAGTTTCCGTTAGCTGAAGACATAACTTTTATATTAAATAAATCATTTTTCATTTCTTATTCTGAACTGCAAGGAGTCTAGAGTCCGACTTTAATGAATTTGAGCCTCGTCTCAAATCCGCCAAAAATCGGTTTCAATTGAGCGCCTGCTTAAATCATGAACATTGAATACAATTTTAAGTGTAACCAAACATATTTAAGCCGCGTCTCAAATTTAAGCCGCCGCTCAAATTCTTTAAATTCAGTCTTAGGCTGTGTAGTGTCAACTCTCGACTCTCTCAACCGCTGGTTTTTTTTTCTCGAAAAAATAGATCATTGTTCAATTTTCTCTCACTTTAGAAAGAACAAACCTTAAAAACTGGAAATATCGCCAAAAGCCTTTCCCCAAAATATTTATTGATGTGTAAACTGTAAAACCGATGTAGATTGTAGATGCAGGGGTGTGATCGTAAATTTTATCAAACCCGATTTACAAACGAATTTACAACCTAACCCTTCTGACCTCATACTGAATATTAAAATGACAGGTCTTATTTATTCTATACAAATTTTAGTAATTAAAAAAAAAAACGCGAATTGCGTTAAATTATTTCATGTGACATAAATCATCAGTTTTTAGAGAGGAAACATAAATATTAGACTCGTAAATACTTTTGGGGATCATTGTGAATCTTGGGAAATGTGAGAATTTGTGAAGAAACAAGGAAATGAGGAAATAAAATGGGATAAAGTTCACCCCTGCATATACTGAACTCTAATACTACGAATAGTTTAATTGGTAAACCCGAAAAAGGACTGCATTTGAGTACAATATTAATATTTTATTAATTAGTTAAATTAATAGAAATCTTCTTCCTTATACCTCAAACCATATCTTTTCTATAGAAATCTGCATCTTCGTGTATCATCGTCCAAATCTGAAATTAAATGTGATCAAAATATTTATTATTATGTGTATTTTCATAAATAAAAGTGTATCTAGTTAATTATATTCACATTATCAAATATTGTGTCAATCCAATACTCCTTTCGCCCTACAACTGTTACCAAACTTAAAAGTATAATGTTTTAATTAGTTTTTGGTAATTTAAAGCTAAGTCTGAAATTAATTACTTCAAAAATTACGTCCTACATCTTACAGGATTTTTTAAAGTTAAGTTTCGGATTGCAAATAATGCATTGTGCCAAAAAAAATCATTTTTAAGAGTTATGGTAAAAAATTCTTTATAAAATCCTGAATAAGTCTAAATATTTAATCTTAGAATGATAAAAAAATCATTTGTATACCATCCATCCCCTTCCATCCTGATATTATCCCCCCCATCTTTATTCTTGTACTATCCATCATATCCCTTTCTCCTTCTTGTACTATCCATCATATCCCTTTCTCCTTCTTGTACTATCCATCATATCCCTTTCTCCTTTCTTGTTCTATCCATTATCCCCTACTCACTCTTTTATTTCCCCACGTTCTTTCATCCTTGTTATATACATGTCCCCTCTCTTTCCTTTCTTGTCCCCCCTTCCGTCTTCTCTACTATTTATCCTCCCTCCCCCCTCTTACCCACTCCCTTGTACTATCAATCCCCCCGGCCCCAGCCCTACCTATTTCCTTGTACTATGCACCCTCCTCCAGTCCTACCTACTTCCTTGTACCTTCAATCACCCCAGCTATTCTCTACCTACTTTCTTGTACCTTCAATCTCCTAACCCTACCTATTCTGTGTACTATCAAAACCCCCACTCACCAGTTCTTCTTACTTCCTAGTACTATCTATTCCCCCGCCCTCCTACACTATGTTGTACACTGTACAGCTGTTTTGAGTCTTGTTAAATGTTTCAGAATAAATATGGTGGTTGTGACTAGTTTAGGCCCCCCAGACGAGGGTATTCGAGCACAGCAGGTAAACAAAAAGGGATTTATACTCTGTTATAAAAAAATATCCCCCCCCCCTTTTTTGTGAAATGTTTAAAAATAAATAATTATTACAACAAAGACGAGGAAAACCTTGCTCGTTGATATCCATTTTGTGTTTAATCATTTACTTCCAAAATCTAAAAAAAAAAAAAAAAATTACAAAATTAAACCCTTGAACCAGAATCACATTTCCTCAATTTCTGAAGATAATAATACTTGATGATTCATGAGAGGTCATGAACATTCAAAATTGTATGTTTCAAAATAAATCCTTAATGTTTTTATGGATCTGGAATAATATTCCAGAAAGTCGTTCCAAATTATTCGGATTAAAGATTATCTAATCTTCCTTTCTATCGATCTACTGAGCTAACTACTACTTATTCATTCAATACTTACCTTCCTACATCCCTACCTACTTCAATATTTACCTACCTACTTCAATACTTCCTACCTGCCTTAATACTAACCTTCCTACTTCAATACTTTCCTACCTACTTTAATACTTACCTACTTACTGCAATACTTTCCTACCTACTTCAAAACTTTCCTACCTACTTCATTAATTACCCTCCCTTCGTATCAACCAACCTACCTAATTTTAAAGGGACTATGAGCGTAATTTTAAGTGACCCTGAAAGCAAAGATATTAATGCCCGACTGCAACGGTAACCTTCAAACCTTTGATTAAAACTAGGGAAAATGACTCGAAAAATGTTTATTTCTGCAAATGTCTCCATTGTTTCTTGTAATCAAGAAATGCAGAAGTCACTTTTGCAGAGAGACCGCAATGAAAATTAACAGTTACAAGGACTGTAAAGGAATTATGAAAGGGGGTAAAGGATGAAACCTGAAAATCTCAGGCGTTAAACGAAACATATAAGACATCTATCTGATGTTCCTGTCTCGAGAAATTTATATAAACTGTGTCGAAACTATACGAAAATTCATAAATATACAAATTTGTATAAAAGTAGTATGTTTAAACAGATTATATTCAGCAAATACGCAACAAGTCTGACAACGATTATATCCCACAGGAGCCTCAGAATCTCAGGTTTGCTCCTGTTATAATTTTAAAATTTTTATTTTGCATTTTTAATAAATATAATTGATAATATTATTTCATATAGTCCTTATAGTCCATATTACGTCACCAGAACTTCAGCCAATGGCAGTGCAGTATATTTGTTCCGTGATTCAGACGGAAATCACGTGACCAGTATACTGCACTGCCATTGGCTGAAGTTCTGGTGACGTAATACGGACTATACGGACTATATGTAATAATATCTAATGAAAATGCTAAATAAAAATTAAAAAGTTGTAAGTCGGGCAGTGCCATCTTTGCTTGAAGTATTACTTTAAATTAGTCGTACATCCAGTTCCTTTATTACGTACCTACCTAGCACTCTAACTACGTATCAGTCGACCTACCTACGTGTCAACCGACCGACCTACGTATCAACCGACCTACCTACGTTTCAACCGACCTTCCTACGTATCAACCGCCTAACCTACCCACCTCCCTCCTATGTTTAGGAGAATACTGAAGTATATTTGAATAACCGAAGTCTAGGGATGGGAACACTTTATATATCTGAATCCAGGGTTTCCTGGGTAGGAATATTAGAGAAGGTAAATTTACTTGAAATAAAGTATTTCAGTGAGAACCAGAAAACTGAGGAGTAGAAAGGCGACATTAAAAGAATTTAGAAATTGTCGTCTTAACAATTTTTTAACGAGTTTTATACTTATGCACCTAACCAGGTCCCTTAAAAGGTCAACAACCACTAACCAGATCCCTAAAAAGGTCAACAACCCCTAACCAGGTCCCCCCTAAGATTTATTATACTTGTCAGTCATGAATGTGCACAGTAACAAACTAGCTTTTTAAAGGGGAAAACATGACATTGCCATTCAGGGAAGAAAAAAAATTATATATTTTCCCCAAAAATATTTGGCTTAGTTTTCTGTATCAACCAAAATCAATCAAAAATAAATCCCTCTTTTCCTTTTTACTTACCTCTTCCCCCTTTCTCCCTTCCCTTTTCTCCCTTTCCTTTTCTCCCTTTCCCTGTGGGGGAAAAAATATCATAGTTTTTTCTCCTAAATAGGTGTTCAGTTTTCTGCTTCAGCCAAAACCAGCGAAACTTGTCCCCTTTTCCCCTCATCCCTTTCCCCCTTCCCTTTCCCCCTTCTCTT